AGCCGGAAGTGGCGCTGTGGCTCAAGTGGTAGAGCGCTAGCCTTGAGCTGAAGAGCTGAGGGACAGCGCCCAGGCCCAGAGTTCAAGCCCCATGACCGACCAAAAAAAAAGTACCAATTATTTAAAGAACAGGTTTGTCATTAAGCTCAAAATCCAAAATGGCAAACAATAACTCCCCAAGGCTTCTTCAGCTGAGAGACCATGAAAAATCAGTTACCTTGATGACAACAGCTGAAAGTTACTAAGTGTTGGTTTCGGCCAGACACTACCAATGTCTGCACAAAGCACCATCAAAGAAAAGAAAACTTAAAGCCAGTAAGACACTGGAGGAAAATATTTGCAACTTATGACAGAAAACAGTAATTTTTTATAAACAGTTCTTACAAAAAATAAAAAGCAAACAGTGCAAATGGAAAACGAGGAAAGACAATTCATAAATATAACTGCACTTGAAGGAACCGCACCAGACTCTAGCACTCTTCCAAGAGACACTTAAGTGTCTGCTATACGTGAGGTACCTCCTAAGAGTCAAGGACACAGCAGTACACGAGGCACACACAGCTCTGCTTACAGGGGCTTACATGCAGACAAGATGGAAGCAAGAAAATGAAGAAGGCATTTGCAAAGGGAGAAGAGCTGGGAAGAAAACAGAGCAGGTAGGATGACCAGAAGTGACTGGAGAGGTCTTCCTTGGATCACCCTAGAAGCCACTCCAAAAAGTAAAGCAGCCAACCTCAGAAAGTCAAGGAAAACTGGCGCAGGGTGCAGAGACCTAGAAGAAAATGGAGAGGGCTGGAGAGGCAGCAGTACACAGAGCACTTGTGCTGAGGAGACGTGCAAGGACAGGCACTCAACATCCGCCAAGCTTGTGAAGATGAAATCGCAAGCCTTTTCATTACTGTAAAGTAATATACTTCAACTTCAACCATAGGTTCTAACTACCTATGGAGATTAAATACATATACAAAATTTATCCACAAAGATGACCATCACTGTACTGTGCTGCTTAAAGGAGGAATGAAGGAAATGGAACTCTTAAAATATATGATAGAATACAATACTGCCACTAAGAATGATGGTGTACATGTTTTTTGTTAAGAATAAATAAGAAAAAGGGCAGTTATTTTCACCCTCACTCAACATCCTATTTCACTGGTCAAAATGCTATTCATTTCAATGTCTCCTTAAAACATTCTAAAACTAATTCCACAATGGATGTCATCACAGAACATTCTTACAACACGCAAACTACATTTTAATTATTTAAGAGGGAAAGTATAGATTCATGGAATAAACCTAAAACATTATTTTCCTTTAGAAACTTCATTTTTCTTATTCTTTTATAATGAAATCAAGCAAAAATAAATACTTGTATAGATGGAATCACTATTCAAGGCACATCTTAACATATTATAATATTATATACAAAATGAGACTTTATCAAGTACTTTCAGCAATCATGTTGCACATTACCAAAAGTCATAATCCCATCAAGTTTAATGCTGGAAATGCAGTGAGTTCTGGAAGCTAATGAATATGAGCAATATCACATTTACTAACCTTGACTTTAGAAATGCAGCCTTTGAACTAGCAAGCAATTTATTCCACTTCCAAAGCAATTCTCTTATTGTATTGAAATTTTTATCTCAGTATTTAAAAACAGTAAGATGATGAATAATGGATTTTTCTGAGACACGATAAGCAGAAAATCTTAAGTGTCTTTGTTGCTTGGGTCCTACACACTTAATTGATTTGTCACTCAAGAGAAATCAACGTTTCCAGCAATTAAGTATAATTCTGGAGACATTTTTTTAAATGAGTAAAAACAATGCGAACAAAGACAACAGAAAAGATGATACAAACCCAAGAGTAGTGCCATACTAAGAAAAAGGACAGCTAC